CTATACTTGTGTCTCCTTCTCTCTTGTTCACACCACCTCAGTAAGCCACTGTAGCCAGCTGCTTGCCAGGATCTGCCCATGTTCAAATCCTCACCCTGTGGTACCTGTAGGGTTGTTTGAGATCACTTCTCACTTTGCAAAGCCTTGCAAATTATGGAAAAAGTAGATGGAGAGGGGACTTTTAGAATCAAAGTCAGCAAAGTCTTTATGCTTCAGGTAGCCTGACAAAGACACCTGAACTGGTTTTGGCTTGATATTGAACCTTGATATTCTTTGCTTATGGAAAAAAAGAATCAGACTGGAGAAAAGGATAGTACCAGAACATTTTGACAGAAATGCTGCCTTTTCCCTCTAAGACTTCTGGTGTAGAGAAGAGTTAAGGAACCTTCTGGAATCCTGCAAGGCGTTGTGCATTAGCAGTGAGCCAGATCCTGGGAACTGAAGGCTATATGCTGTTTGACTGCAAGGCCTTTTACATCCACAGCTCAATTAATATTTCTGATGAATCCTTACACTGATCTTGGGGTTTAGATAACCAGTGCTGATGCTGACATGTAACATGCCTGTGTTACAACCTAGAAATCTGCTCAGAGAACTGCTTCTGTAAGGAACTGAACATTTACATATCCCACTATAAAACTGTGAATGAAAATTTGCAAGCAAACTTCTACATCTCAAATCTGTTTTATTCATCAGCAGCTAATGAACTTGTTGGAGGGGTCTTTCTTCAATAACCAGCTGGAAGAAATGCAACACAGCAGATAACACAAACAACAGACACCTTTGTAACTAAAACTGTGGATCAAACCTTGCAGGACCTTGCAGGAAAAGAAAAAAAAAAAAAGAATTTTCTCTTGATATTTAAAAATAAAGAATCTTACACATCAATCATTCTTAACTAATGGAAATCATTCCACACAGAGGAACAAGCTGAAAACAACCAAGATAAATTCAAGAGCCTATTTACTTTGAATAATTTTCAATTGTTCTACTTCCTCCTAAACATATTTTAAAACACTATTTTAGTGGTTTTTCTTTACAGTGTCTTTAGTTTGGATTCTTATCCTTATCTGAAAAACATTAAAGCTTGTTTTTGTAGAAAACTGAAGAAACTTGTTGACAACTATTACACATAGTGCCACATGACTTTCTAATCAAAACAAAAAGCACATAATGTAATAAATGCATGTTAAATACATTAGAAACCCATTAAATCATTTCAGTTTTCTGTTTTCAAGAAGTAGGTACAAATATGGAATCATGACTGAATAATGACTGATTCTCTTTGAATCCCATAAAGATTAATACTAGGAATGAACATGCTTAGCATTTTTACTACTGATATGGAAGAAGATGTAATAATTTCTGGTAAAATCTGCAGATATCATAAAGATTAGCAGATAGTCAATACTAATGAAAGCACTACAGACACACAAAATGATCCATCATTTACTAACCTAGAAATATTAAAAAATGTTCAAGTTAATACAGCCAAACAGAAAGACTAACATTTACAAATATGAAGTATGCAACCAAGGACTAAATCCTGGATAGCAATAAATTTCATGAGTACTTGTCTACTATTAAAAATAATTTAACATAGACTTCCAGTACAATCCCATGTCAAGAGGTTGATCCAAAACCAATGAAACAGTCCGTACAAAAGTTGGCACTTCTGAGATTTTAAATGAATGCTAAATTTCTACGCTCAGTTCCAGCAGGTTTGTTTCCTAAATGGTGTGAAAAAATTGGAGAGAATGTATGAGGGAGTCACAAAACCATCTTGGAAGCTATAGAAAATGCCTTAAATCAAATAGTTAAAGAGATAATACTTATGGTGTCAAAAAGAAGGTTGCCTTGTAGCTTGGTTACAAAACTTTCACAGAAAGTAGTGGCTAGTGAGGGACTACTTAATCTAGTGAAGAAAAGCATACCAATAACTAATGGCTGAAAGTTAAATCTAGACAAATTGAAATTTAAAACAAGGCACATGATTCTAAGCATGAAAGTGATTGAGTACTGAAATAAATTACTAAAGAAGGGGCTAAGTCTTCATTCCTTGATGTCCTTAAATCAAGCTGACCTGTCTCTGTACAGGACTTGCTTTAGCAAAAACCACAAATTGTGCTTTTGTCAGACTGGTCTTCGCCCTGAAGTAAAGAGAAAATTTATGACCAGGGATCTAGATGGGGTCAGAGAAGATAATCTCATGGCCTTTTCTGTCTTACCTTCCACGAATCTATCAATTTACTGAATGAGTATAGAGAAAAAATTTTCTGAGTGATTTTTGCCATCTGGATAACAATGTGATCCATAGCAAATTGCAAATCATACAGTAATAAATGTATGTCAGAAACCATCGAGATGAATTTATTCTTGCAATGCCTTCTAATTTAGAAATTTATAGTTATTTAATATTTTACATATTAATTTTATTCTGGGTAATTGAATCAAGGTGAAAGGGTTAAGCAGACAGGCTAAATGAAACACTGCCATGTACTTAGTTTAATGTGGTTGGAAAAATCAATGAACTTTGGTCTGTCAGCTTGCAATCACAGGTTTAATTGAATCACATGTCAAGTATTTTAAACTGTTTACTAATGTAAATAGAATCCAGTACTATAGCCATGGTAATAAGCCAAGCAGCTTTCCCTGAATTCCGATCAGATTTGTACATGACCTTCATTTTAAGCTCCCACATGCTGGAGATCAGTTATCGTTATGTCTACAGAGTTCAGTGATTACACCTGTGATTCTCAAGAAACTGTATTTGGTATTGATTCCTTCTGCAGATTCTAGGTAATGGTTGATCAGTTCCCAGCAATGGTTACTCTTTCTTTGAGCATTTATAGTCACTTCCACTTGATTATTGTCACTGGGAGGAGGAATGAATCACACAGCAAACTTCTACTGAGTCTGCCTGAGAAATGGTGGAGGCTTTGAAATAAGAACAGGAGAAGCATCTCCTCAGCTCATGCTGGGTGAATTCCAGGCACATCTGTACAACAGCTTCTTACTCTTCCTCACCCTTACCTTTTTACCATTCCCAGGCAGTAGCTTCCCACAAGAAGACATGAAAGAATCAAGGAGAGAAGGTCATAGCCCTGTCCAAGCTGAAAGAGTTTGCCACTGCCAGACCAGTGTTGGGAGCAGGTGATGTTTTGGCTATGCAACATGCACATTTCTGTCCTTTTCTCAGGTGCAGTAAATGATTTTTTTTTTTTTTTTTTTTTTTTT